AAGTAGGAAATGACTCATAGTTGACCCTCCAGCAGATTTTCAGAAGCAGTTAATCACATGGGAGGAGACTGCTCATCTTTTTCCCATGGAATAACTGGTGAATCTGAACCAAGTGCCTTTGTGTTGGCAGCACAGCTCCTCAACACGAAGCTAAAACACGAAGCTAAAACTCAAGATATCAGTGGTAATGAAGGGAGTGCATGCTTCACAAGGAGTGGAATAGGAATCTTTACTGTAGTGGTTCTTAACCATAGACGAACATTAAAATATCTGGTGGTCCCTAGAAGATAATCAACTTGACTACACCTAGCAACAGCATTTAATATATTAGGCTCTGAAGATATAAATAAAGCATGATGTCTTAAAATACATTTTGACTCAGGAGGTTTAGGTAAAGGTGTGAAATCAGACTTTTTCCTCCCTAACACATTCCTGAGGGAGATATTTTTCAAGAGGTAAGAAACTAAAAAAAAAAAAACCAAAAAAAAAACAAACCCTCATCAAATTCCATAGCAGAGGAATCCAGAGAAACAAACACTTGAAAGTAACCATTACATTTGTCAGTGAGAATGCTTGTGTGAAAACAGCTAAAAGTGGATTAGCAAGGAGAAAGCCATATTATGTGTATTTAAAAGACAAAAGTAAAAGGAAAGAAAAAGTGAAGTCAGAAAATAAAATGCAGTACATTTGCAGCTTCTTATCTTTATTCTTCAATGATGAAAGAGCTTAAAACCTCTTCATGAGCTAAGACAATGGACTCAGTGAACAGAACAAAGTATAGTGAAAGAAAAGGATAAAATAATTTCAGATGAGGAGATGGCCTCCTGACATTAAAGCAGAAGAGATTTACTGCTGGTTGTTATCAATTAAGCCCCTAACTCATGGAAATGCATGCACAAGGAATGAAAAGCTTTGTGGTTTCATACCATTCACAAGATAAGGGGCAGACTGACAAGTGTGATCTCTTAGGTTTTAACCTGCTGATGTTTCAAAGCAGATTTTGAAATTTTTTAACATTTTAGTCTGGAAGTTAACGCTAAACGCTGTTCAGCATCCTAACAATATGTAAGCCTTCTGTGACAGAGTGGCATTGGCTGCTCATGAGATACATTGGCAAGAAATGAAGCCTAGGTTTCACTCATGAAAAATAAGAATTTTAGGTTGAGGGTCAGATAAAGAGAAGAAAACCCTCAACAAGATGGACTGACATTGTGACTATATGAAGGAATATTTTTTTTTCTTCTTGTTCTCTTTGGAGGGGAGAGTGCGGCAATGAATGAGTGGAAATCCAAAACCTCTGTAAATGTCTATTAAAATTAATAATTTAAAAAAAATGGCTGTGAGCATCTTACAGATCATAAGAATTATACAGGATAGGGTAAAGTTCAGATCTGTTGTCTACAAGGTTGCTATGAGTCATAATTGACTTGATAGAACATCACAGCAATTAAAAAAAAAAACACTGAACTACTATAGAAGAAACTGAAAAATCTGGAGGGGTAAAAAAAAGAATTTATAGATAAAGAGGTACAAGCCCATAGTAAATAATCATAAGACAGAGAAAGTACAGCCAATACAGTACTAGAAATAACAGAAATATGTGAAAAAACAATCCAGAGTATTAAAAACAATATAACAGATGTTTCCAACATGGAAGAGGGACAAAAAAGCAGAACAGAAAAAAATGGTACAGAAAGTCAGTATGCTGGAAGACAGAAACCTTACTGAAAACACAGTAGAAAAAAAAAAGACAGGGGGGATGAAAAGAAAGTGGTAAGAATATTAGAATCATATGGGATTATATAAAAAGGAACAACATACATGGGATTATATAAAAAGGAACAACATACATATGACTGGAATTCCAGAACACAAGGGGAAAAACACTGAAAATATTATGGAAGAGACACTAGAAGAAAACTTTCCTGCGCTCATGAAGAACGATGAAATTCCCATTCAAAAAGATGCAAAAACCCCAGACTAGATCCCAAAAGAAAAACATCAAGACATAATCAAATTCTCCAAAATCAAAGATAAGGATAGAATACAAAAAGCAGTACAAGAAAAACCAGAGTCACCTACAAAGGACAACCAATTAGATTAAGTTCTTTTTCTCAGTACAAACCATGCAAGTAAGAGGACAACAGAATGACCTATATAGAAGGATGAAAGAAAATAAATGCCAGCCAAGGATTCTGAACACAGCAAAGCTGTCCATTAAATACAAAGGAGACATAGTACCCAGAAACAGTGACTAAGCAAAATGGCATCAATAAAACCTGGTCTGTCAATAATCACACTTAATGTTTATGACTTGCATGAACCAATTAACAGGAAAAGTTGTAGAATGGATAAAAAAACCAAAGCCCATCAATATGTGGCCTACAAGAGACACATCTAAGAAATGAGGAAAAAGATGGACTAAAAACCAAAGGCTGGGAAAAATATACCAAGCAAATGACATACACAAAAAAAACCCAGGAGTGGCGATCCTAATCTCTGACAAAACAGATTGCAACATGAAAAACCACCAAAAAAGATAAGGTTTGTTGTTGTTGTTATGTGCCATCAAATCACCTGCAACTCATAGTGACCATATGTTCAAGAGCCCTGAACCCTGCTCTATCCTGTGCCAATCTCACTGTCTCCGACACACCTACCCTGATTACCCAAGTCACTGAATCAATCCACCTCATAGAGGGTATTCCTCTTATGCGCTGTCCCTACATGCTCCCAAGCATGATGATGTCCTTCTCCAAGGACTGATCTCTCCTTGCAACATGTCTAAAGTATGTCAGACAAAGCTTCAGAATCCTTGCCTCCAAGGAGCAGCCTGGTTTAATCCTCTCCAGGTTGAACATGTTCGTTTTATTAGCAGTCCACAGCATATTCAATACTCCTTAAACACCACAGCTCAAAGGCATCAATTCTCCTTGTAACCTCCCTAGTCATTTTCTAGCTCTCTGACACATAGCAAGTGACTGCAAAGAACATGGCTTTTATCAGGTGCACCTTAGTTTCCACAGTGACACCATTCCTCTTCAGTACTTTAGAGAGGTCCCAAATAGCAGACTTTCTCATTACAATACGTCTTTTAATTTCCTGACTGCTGGTGCCAAGAGTACTGATTATGGAGCCAAGGAAACTAAAGCTGTTAACAATCTCAATCCTTCACCATCCATCCTGATGCTGCTATTAAATTTTAAAAATGTAATTTCTGTCACATTACAGACCAAATTTTTAAAATAACTCATAATCCTTAAATGTCAGAAAGCATATTCCTTAAAAGAGAAAAAAATATTCAGGATCCTCTGTATTTTGTGTATTATAAACTTGCTTATTTGTCTTTAAGATTTCATTAAAAATCATTGGGTTGATGAGAAGAGCACAACTCTATGCTGCGTGTGTGTGTGTGTGTGTGTGTGTGTGTGTGCGCGCGCGCGCGCGCGTGTGAAGTTTCACTAAAGTGAGGTGTCAGTGAATCAACTATGAAACAGTGCTGAGTACTTGACCTTAAGGTGAACTATATTTTTTTAAAAAACAACAAAATTAAAGAATACTCCTAAGTACAATTTCTGAACTCAAAAGGTTATACCCTCCATGGAAACCAAAAGCTCGCTGCTCTGGAGTCAATCCCTACTCACAAACAATCCTCTAACTCAGCTGGTGGGTTTGAACCACTGATCTTTTAATTAGAAGCACAACACATGATGTAGTACACAATCAAAATTCCTTTTTCAATAGAAAGTTTAAGAGAATTCTTCACTTATAGAACAAAAATTTGAGAATAATATAGTGATAATATGGTATTGCCTTTTTAAAAAATTTTTTCTACATGAAGTTGTGAATATGACAGAAAAAAATCTCATTTATATACTTAGCTCTCTCATCTCAAAATATGAGCCATACGAACAACACATATTGTACTGGTCAGAGCAACAGTATTTTAAATGTAGACTGTATAACTGGATAGGCATAGTAACTGGGGATATGAGGGTAGGTTTGTCAGAGACAATGAGATTGGCTCAGGACAGGGTAGGGTTCAGAGCTATTGTGCATAGAATTGCTATGAGTCACAAGCAACTCAATGGCACATAACATCAATAATTATAACAGTAGGCTCAAAGGTGAATTTCAGGAGAATGCAATATCGAAGAACAAAATTCAACAACCTCCATTACTAGAAGGAAAATTTTTCAGCATTCACTGCCATTTCATTTATGAAACCAATGAGATAAGAACTCCTCTTGAAAAGATAGTTCACACATTTTTCATGCCCACACACTTTAGCTGTGACAATTTTTACACATCTAAGTTATCTGATGTGATCTCATTTTCTTTCTGTATGTTTACTCTGCTGTTCTCATTGGTATTAAACACTAGCCCTGAAGGCAAGTGAGATAAAAGTTAGGCTACTAATTAAAAAAAGCTGGCAAATAGAGTTGAGCTGCTAATCCAAAGACCAAGTCTCTCTGGTGGTTCCGATCTACCCAGTGTCTCCTGGGGAGGAAGATGGGCAATCTTTTCTTGTGTAATTTATAGCCTTGGTAACTCAGTGGAGTTTCCTGTGAGTCAGTATATTTGATGGGAATGACAGAGTCACTTCAAAGCAGAAACATGATGTAGTGTGCTCCTATAAAAATTCACAGCCAAGGAAACCTGTCTTAGAGGGTCTCTATGAGTCTGAATTTAATTGAGGGCAATTTTTGTTTTCACATTTAGCTAACATATGGTTTACCTTACACAAAACAATTTTTAAAATCTTTTAAGAAAGAGTATGAAGTGAAATTTGACTCACAGGACCACTACTTTATTTACTGTAAAAGTGGCTTAAGTCCATAAGGAGATCAGTTTCCATAACTGATTTATTTATAAAATATTATTTAAAAGTTTATTTTTAAAAATAATTGAGTAGATTATTCAGTCTTATTTTAAAATATAATAGCAATAAAGAAAAAAATACTAAAACACAGTACCTAGAATCACAATTATTCACTGACCTTCGGCTCACTGATTTCTTCTCCATTTCCCCTTCACCAAATGATTTAACACTGGCACTTGTGTCTTTTTTTAACTTCTTTGCAATTCTTTCTCTCATCAGGTTCTTCTCATCATCATCAATATTTTCATCATGCTCTGCACTATCATCTTCTCCACCCTGTTGAAAAGAAAATTGGATATTTGCGAGGCATTCAATTTTTCCTTTCACTTCCAAAGGTAGACTCTCTACATCACATTCTATGGCAGGTCTTTTTCATTTTATTTTTCTGAAAGGGCTTAAAAAAATCTGATCCAGGTGGGAATACCCCTTATAGTCTGCTCTAGGTTAACTATGTAAGTTTATGGCATAACGTAGAAAGGGTTTTTGGGTTTTTTTATGCCCATCAATTCCCTCTGCAGTAGTCTGTTCCCTCAGTATTTTTGTTGCTGAGTGCTGTTGAGTCTGAACCAACCCACAGCCCTCCAGCGGGTTTTCAGAGGCAGTTAATCAAATAGGAGGAGAATGTCCATATTTCTTCCGCAGAGCAGCTGGTGGATTTGAACTGCATGCCTTCAGGACTGCAGTGCAGCATCTTACCATAAGGTCACCTGTTATAATGCAGCTACCTACATTTTCTGTTCTTACCCCATTCACTGGGAAATGTTGATCCTGGATGTATACTGACCTATTACAGTAATTAATTAAAGTGGAAAAGTTATAGCTGAAGAAGCTGAAATTTCTTCCTATAATCTTAGTCATTCTAATTACTTTCTTTTTAACAACATTCAAAGGTTCCTCACCTTACTTAATGCTCTATATCATCTGTACCTCCCTGACATAATCTAAAACTTCTATCCAGCCAAATTATTACACTAACTTGTTGCTCGCAAGTGAGCAAGAAGTACACCTGCCTCACCATTTTTAGAGCTGCTATTCATTATTCTTGTCCCACATATCTGGATTCCTTGCCTCATGTCCTTTAGGTATTTACTTAAATGTTCCCCTCAAAGTGATGCTTTTTTTTTTTGCCTCTTCAAATCACCCTACTAAAGTAGCACAACTGTTCCATCTCTAGTACTCTCTGTCCCCTTTCCCTGATTTACTGACCACAGTCTACTTCTCTCATCTGAAATATGTTTTATCATTTATTAGAGAGCTCTGGTGGCTTAGGGAACTGGATGCCAACCAAAAGGTGCAGTGTGGATTCACAAGCTCTATCTCAGGGAAAAGACAGGCAATCTCCAATTATGTGATTTAAAGCCTCTAAAAGCCTGCTGAAGAGTCAGCTATGAGTAACAGAAAGAAAAGAAGTAGGAAGAGGGAGAAAAGAGAGAAATGAAAGACCTACTATCATTTTTTTTTTCTTGTGATTCTTTGATTGTGTGAGTTACAGTGAGGGAGGAATTTTAACTTGAGGCTGGCTGGTGGACTCTCACAGCATAAGTTTTCGAAGTCTGATCTTCAAAGCACCTGAAGTGCAAAATTCTAGCTCTTGCTCTAGATTTCCTCAACATAAATCTAAATACAAAGTGTGATTGTTTTCAGCAATCTAGTCAATGAATTCTTAAGCCCAGAAATTTTTAACCACTGATCTAGCTAGGCCTTCTATGGTTGGCCCTTAAAAAATCTGAAAAAAAAAATATCCTACAAATCCGTAAAACTTTTGTGTGTTGATGTGGTACATTTTCCTGGGATGAAGATCTACAGTTTTAGTCATTTCAAATTAGCTAGGACACAAAATAGGTTAATGAACTTAAACTATCCTTAAATGACCTCCCACTGGTAACCTTAAGACAAATCATTACTTTTTTTAAGTTAGAACTTGTTCTTACTTTCCAGATGCATATTACTATTAAAAATATTTTTTTACACTTTTTAATCTTAAAATTTATACAACTGGCCCAATTTTTTAAAAATTCTTTCCCCAACTTAACTTTACCCTTTCTTTTGTGCCTATCCTGTCAGTATTACCCCAGTCACACTGTCGTGCTTTCATCTGCTGCAATACAACTCCTCCTGCTGTGTAGCCTTTGTAAATGAACATTCCTCTAATGTAAAGTGTTCTTCTCTGCTCTTAAAATTTAAGACTATTTTTCAAACTGTAAATTTCAGCTTGTGTTTGCTAAGCAAGGTACTAAATCTCCTTGCTTTCATGCATTAGCATCCTGCTCACTGAGCTTAGGACTATCTTTCTTTATTTTCTTTTTTGACCAGGTGAACTCTCACTTATGCAGAATGGTCAGAGAAAGTTCTCTGCTGACTGTGGAAAGAGATAAAGCTGTGTTTAGCTGTATGAAACTAGCATACTCCCTCATGAAGTATATATATATAATACCTAGATCATAGGTATTTATACAGAACAACATTTGTATAACTTGGAAAAACTTAAGCTCTTAAATGAAATTTAACATTAAAACAAACTGTCTTGTTATCCATTTTCTTGTCTGGTAAAACTAACAAAGACAAATCACTATATTCTTGAAGAAAAATCTTCCAAAATGTATCTTTAAGTAATAATAAAAATCATTGCTATAAACATTCCCCACTTACCAAGTGTAACACTTGCCCATGATCATTTAGAATTATAACAAAATACAGGAAAATAAGGCCCAGGAATAGATGGTATACCAATTGACATATTTCAGCTAACAGATGTTGCCCTTGATGTGCTCAACAAGTTGTGCCAAGAAATCTGGAGAACAATCACTTGGCCAACTGACTGGAAGAGATCTATATTTATTGTCATTCCAAAGAAGGGTGACCCAACAAAGTGTGGAAATTATAGAACAATATCATTGACTTCACATGCAAGCAAGATTCTACTGAAGATTATCCAAAAATGACTGGAACAGCACATCAGCAGAGAACTGCCAGAAATCCAGGCTAGATTTAGAAAGGGTCGTGGTACTAGGGATATTGTAGCTGATGTTAGATGGATCTTAGCTGAAAGCAAGGAATACCAGAGGAATGTCTATCTGTGTTTCATTGACTATGCAAAGGCATTTGACTGTGTAGATCATAACAAACTATGGCTGACTCTGAGAAGAATGGGAATCCCAGAACACTTGATTGTTCTAATGTGAAACCTATACTTGGACCAAGAGGCAGTTGTCAGAACAGAGCAAGGAAACACTGCATGGTTCAAAGTTGGGAAGGGAGTACACCAGGGATGTGTCCTGTCTCCATACCTTTTCAATCTGTATGCAGAACAGATTATCCGGGAGGCTGGGCTCTATGAAGAAACGTGTGGTGTCAGGATTGGTGGAAGATTCATCAACAATCTGCGCTATGCAGATGACACAACCCTGCTTGCTGAAACTGAGGAGGACCTGAAGCGCTTGCTGCAGAGGGTTAAGGACTGCAGCCTCCAATATGGACTGAGGCTCAATGTTAAGAAGACAAAGATTCTCACCACTGGACCAATTGGCAGCATCAGGATGGATGGTGAATAGATTGAGATTGTACACAGCTTTAGTTTGCTTGGCTCCACAGACAACACTCTCGGCACCAGTAGCCAGGAAATTAAAAGGCGTATTGCCATGGGAAAGTCTGCTGTTAGGGACCTCTCCAAAGTACTGAAGAGCAATGGTGTCTCTCTGGAGACTAAGGTGTGTCTGATACAGGCCATTTGCTATCACTTGTGCATCAGAGAGTTGGACAATCCTAGTTTTTTGAAGACATAAATTACACACACAGATAAGGAAATACTCCAATACAAAAAAATTGAAATAATATATGCATAAAAAGAAAAGTAATCACTTTTAAAAGACATGATAATATAATGTTTTGTAAAAAATTTGAGCATTTTAATTTTTCAAATGTATATTTATAATAAATACTCACATCATCTGAATCTTCTGTTGCATCCTTCTCACTAAAAAAAATAAGTTAAAAAGAAATTTTTTTTTAAAATAAAAATAACTTAATTATTCAATAATCTGAAAACATAGACTAATTTGCTGTTAAGAATATTCCAAAGTTATTTCATTCTAGTAATCTTAAAACCTTCTTCCATCAAGGTGATCTCTCAATTTTTAGCAACTCTAGGAAGGTGGAAACATTCTAAGTAATATCACACATTTAAAAATATCAAATAATTATAATCAAATGTTTATAAAAATAATCAAAGTTCTACTCCATTTGCAGATGCACATTTTCAATAGAATGAGAAAAAAAAATATCTAATACTTGGAAACAGATAAGCCCAGCCACAAAATCCAACAGTGCCATTTTGTGAACAAAGGTCTTCAGAAAACTATTTTTTCTTTTGGTCCGAAACACTTCGACTACAGAAACCAATTCTTCAAGTAAAATTATATTGAGAAAGGATGATTTTTTTAAACAGGACTCTGGAAAATTATCTAAACTCAATACCACAAGTGTTCTTGTCACTCTCCTTCTTAAAGAGAAGCAACAGAGTCAGACAATCTTCTGTTAACTCCTGAAAATATGTAAGAAGTAACTCTGAAGCAGAGTGTGAATCTTCACAAAAAAGTTTCAACTCTGTTTTGCCCCCTCACAACATTGAGACAAAATTCTTCAAGGGAAAAAATGAACAAAGTAACTTTCATAGCAGTGCCCTAACATTCAAACTCTTCTAAATTTTTAGAGTTTATTAATTTTAAATATAATTAGTTCAACAATTATAGACAGTAAAAGTCATTAAAATGCTGCTCTCAATAATGCTTGAAGCTCTACTACCTAACTTCTGTATCAAAATGTCTTTATTTTATACTATGTTTGAGAAGAACATTGTTCGAAGTGATATAGCACTTGTCTATCAGTTTGCTATACTAAGATAACTTGGGGTTGCTGTAATAATGAACCCTGTGCCACTGGTGTCAAATGGCATAATGATTACCCATGGTGAACAGAGTTTGGTAGAGCTCTCAGATTAAGACAGGCTTGAAATCAGGGTTGGCATGTACTTTTTAAACAACTGGCCTTTGCAAACTTGATTAACATTAGAGAAATGATGCCAGTTATAGAACAGGGTTCAGATCTATTATTCATATGGTCACTATGAGTTGTACTTGACTCGATGGCACGTAACACCCCCACCACCACCACCACCACCACCACCGTTATTGTCATCAGGTTGACTACAATTCATAATGAGCCTACGACCAACAGATCTGAAGTTTACCCCAACCTGTGCCATCCTCATGCTCTTCCACCATTTTTAAGCTGATTGTGACAGTCACCATGTCAATCCGTCTGAGGGTCAGCCTCTCTTCCTCTGACTTTCCACCTTTCCCAGCCTTATATCTTTTTGCAAGAAAGAGCTATTCTGACAACATGTCCAAAGTATGTGATATCACGTTTCACCATTCTTGCCTTTTAGGAGCACTTTGATTGTACTCAATCCAAAATAGATTTGTTTGTTCTTCTGGAAATCCATGAGATGTTCAACACGCCTCTCAAAAACCACAATTCAAAGGCATCGATTCTTCTTTCATTTTCTTTATTCATTTTCCAACTTTCAGATGCATACAAAGATAGTGAAAAACACTATGGCTGACATCAGGTGCACCTTAGTATTTAAACTGATGTTTTTGTTTTTTAGTACTTTAAAGAGGTCCTTGAGAGCAGATTGCCCCAACACAATACATCTTTTGATTTCTTAACAGCTGATACAATGGGTATTGACTGTGGACCCCAATAAAAGTTTACAAAAACATTCTATACACAAAGGAAACAAGAAAAATTATCAGATCTAGAAAATAATCTAGCTTCACACCAGCATGTACTTACCTTTCAACAGCCGGGACAGAGCTGAGATGTGGATCATCCTTCAGCAAGTCATGACTACTCTTGCTTTTTCCTTTCATGCTCTGAAAAGGAAAGTGTAATAAAAATATAAGAGAGGAAAAGTCTTCTTAAAAACACATTGACAAATTCACATCACCTGTAATATTGATATAATGTGATAATAAAACATGTTTGGCTTAAACTGATGACCTTTGCAACTGAGTGTTTAACATTTGACGAAGCTCATTTGAGTGTTTCTATGTTGTTTTTAGGTGCCAGTGAGTCCCCTCTGACCCAGAGATGTTACAAACAACAGCATGAAACAATGCCCAGACCAGCACTGTCTTCACAATTACTGCTGGACTTGAGACCATTGTTGCAGCTACTATGTCAATCCAACTCACAGGAAGCTTTCCACTTTTGCAATGGCCTCTACTTTATCAAGTCTGCTGTACTTCTCCAGGTACTATCCTCGAATGAGAACATGTCCAAAATGTGAAACAAAGAAGCCTCACTATACCCTTGCTTCTAAGGAGCATCCTGGCTGCGCTACTTCCAAGACAGATTGCATTGTTCTTCTGGCAATACACGGGATATTCAATCTTTGCAAGCACTACAACTCAAAAGTGCATCTTCTTTATTCATTGTTCAACTTTCGTAAGTATATGTTGTTGTTATTATATTCCATCAAGTACAAATTACAGTGTGACCCAATGAACAATAAATCATAGAAACCCTGCCCTATCCTATGCCATCCTCACAATCTCTGAAACACTTACTCCCACTACCAGTACTGTCAGTTCACCTGGTTGAGGACCTTCCTCTCTTTCACCATTTCTCTACCTTTCAAGCACGATACCCCTCTCCAAAGAATAGACAGACTCTCCTAACAACATGCCTGAAGTATATAAAACAAATTTTTAACCATAGTTGCCTTCAAGAAGCACTCTGGCTGCACCTTCTCCAAGACATATGTATGTATCTCTTTGTTCCATGGGATGTTCAGTATTTCTGTCCAACACCAAAGTTCAAAAGCAACAATTATTCTTCTGTCAACCTTAGTCATTGTCCAACTTTCAGCAGTAGAGGAGATGATTGAAAAGACCAATTCTGCTGTGCCAGCTATGTGTCTCAGCTAGAATACTCCAGCACTCAACCACAGTGCCATCCTGTCATGCCACCACTGGCCTCTGATGGGCCCAGCCCCATGATTTTATGTGTGCCTGATTTTCTGTCAGAGCACAGACATCAAGCCATAGAAAGACGGCCCAGGAGCAGACGTTCAGAGACAAGAACTTTCTCCCAGAACTGCTAGAGAGAGAAAGGTTTCCCCTGGAGCTGATACCTGGGATTTGGAGTTGGAGTTTCCTAAACTGTGAGAATGATCTGTCAGTTTGTTGAATTGGGTACATAAGTTCCATCCTGTTAGTTATTTCATAGCATGGGTACCTTTATTGCTTGTTTATCATTGTTCTAATTAGTACAGCACTTGTCTGTCAGTTTGCAATACTGAGGTAACTTGTGAGTGCTGAGATATTAAAAGCTGTGCCATCAGTCTGTCAAAAGTAAGAGGGGCCACCTATGTTGAACGGGTTTTAGTAGAGCTTCCAGATTAAGACAGACCAGGAAGCAGGACTGGCCATCTACTTTTTAAATAGCAGGCCTCTGAAAAC